GTGGGAGGGGTGGGGGCGGGGGGGCGGGGCGGAACAGATGCTTGGAGTAGTCCCCTGGTTGGTTAAGGACACCAGATTAAAAGCAAGGCTGCAGCGGCGCCTACTGGCCACCACGGGTTGCAAATCCACTTCGGATGGCTGGATCGGGAGCGGAGGGTATATAACAGGTTCAGGGATCCTGGGTCCCAAATGGTGCGACAGAAGATGAAAGTCTGTAGGCTAAGTGAGAGTCAGGGACAGAATATGCAGATGACCTGGTCCGAGTGAACCAGGGAAGTAGAGGAATCCCTTTTCCAGTGGTTCTTAGCCTTTCTTGGTTACATCAACCAGCAGAACAATCTGTTGAAAACTGCACCTCTCTGGAAAAGGAGCATTACTCACATTTCCCCTGTCATTTGAGAACAACCCCCAGCTACATGTGATTGTCCGGAGTGTGAGTAAGAAGAGCGCTCCATTCGTAGAGTTCAGGTGAAGAACCCCTCCTAGCCTCAGGCCCAGCCCTATCAGCCATGTCTTCACTTTCATGAGGGACCCCAGGCAGGTCCATATTCTCCATTTCACAACCGGGACAATGCAGAGGTGAATGAAGAACGTATTGGCTCTGGTGCGCCGCTTATGGCTGTTCACTGAGCAAGGACGATCTGCTAACCAGTGCAGGTGGGCACTGAAAACCAGTCGGCGAGAGGCACGGTCTACTCGCCAAGCTGTAGCCCAGCCATTCCCTACTTAAACTTGGCAGAAGAAAAGGCGGGGGGTCTTTAGGCCGTCTAGAGAGCCGGCCTAGGAGTTTTCGTCCTGATTCCTCTACTGATCTGCCTGTCTGAAGTCATCTCCTTTCGAGACTAAGAACCTGGGAGCATCTGCCAATAAGGAGATATTGGAGCCTGCAGAGGGAGAGGGTGGGCAAAGGTGGGCAGGCGGGGACTGCGCTCTAGCAGACGAAGCGCGGGCGATGAGACGGCGGTAGGGTTCTCTTTCCCTCTGGAGCCTCAATCTCTCCGCCCGGTTTCCCAGTCTAAATGCTCTGCGTCACCCCCTGCTCCCAGGGTCAAGGGTTGGGCCGGAGGACGCTATGCCGCGCATAGTGGAGCAGCCGCCAGATCTGCTGGTCTCCCGGGGCGAGCCCGCCACGCTGCCCTGCCGCGCTGAAGGCCGTCCTCGACCCAACATCGAGTGGTACAAGAACGGGGCGCGCGTGGCCACTGCGCGCGAGGACCCACGCGCACACCGCCTGCTGCTGCCCAGCGGTGCCCTCTTCTTCCCGCGCATCGTGCACGGGCGCCGTGCGCGGCCGGATGAGGGTGTCTACACTTGTGTGGCCCGCAACTACCTGGGGGCAGCGGCAAGCAGAAACGCCTCGCTGGAAGTGGCAGGTGAGAGTCCCATGGTTGTTAGCTGGCTGCTTTCAGAGCCTGGGGGAGGCGGGAGGGAACCAGGCAATCTGACCCAGACCGGGCCCCAGGGATCTCAGCCCATTCAGCATCTTCCTTTGGGACCGCGAGTTTTGGTTTCTAATGCCCACTCAACCCCTCTCCAAGACAAAACTTTCCTGTGTCCTCATCCGCACATCCTGTTTATTCTCCTGACCTATCCCTCCCTCCCTGCCCCCCTTCCCCACCCTTCTTCAGTCCTCCGGGATGATTTCCGGCAGTCTCCTGGGAACGTGGTGGTGGCAGTGGGGGAGCCAGCAGTAATGGAATGCGTGCCCCCCCGCGGCCACCCGGAGCCCTCCGTGTCCTGGAAGAAGGACAGTGCAAGAGTCAAGGAAGAAGAAGGAAGGATCACGGTGAGGGACGGGGCCATGGCTGGGGACCCCATGAGAGGCAGGACCATAGGCTAGGGGTCCAGGGCCATCTCAAGGAGGAAGGCCTGCATCTAAGCGTCTTGAAGAGGCAGAGAATAATGTCTTGGAGATGACAAGATGGAAGATTTGAGATCAGGGCATCAGCTGACCAGAGACTGAGAGTCAGCTATTGAATGAGGGATAAGGAGGGTAGGTTGACTCCTTATCTGACACATGGGTCAACTTCATTGGTTTTCTTCATTGGCTTGCTGTGAGGATCAAATAAACGTTATATATATGTAAACCATATATACTATATGCTTCACATATACATATATGCACACATACGTATGTGCTTTGATGGCTCTGCAGATCCGTGGAGGGAAGCTGATGATGTCACATACACTCAAGAGTGATGCAGGGACGTATGTGTGCGTGGCCTCCAACATGGCAGGAGAACGGGAGAGTGGGGCAGCTGAACTTGTGGTCCTGGGTAGGCAAAGGGATTTTTTTTTTTAATTTTTAAAAAAGATGACCGGTAGAGGGGTCTTAACCCTTGACTTGGTGTTGTCAGCAACACGCTCTCCCAAGTGAGCAAACAGGCCATCCCTATATAGGGATCCGAACCCGTGGCCTTGGTGTTATCAGCACTGCACTCTCCCAAGTGAGCCACGGGCTGGCCCAGGCAAAGGGATTTTTGGAGTTATGGGAGCAGGTGGCCAGGAGACTAAGTAGATGCACAGACCCCCTGAGTGTTCACTCACTCCCACCCTGTAGAGCGTCCCTCATTCCTGCGCAGACCAGTGAATCAGGTGGTCCTGGCTGATGCCCCTGTGAATTTCCTATGTGAAGTGCAGGGAGATCCCCCGCCTCATCTACACTGGCGCAAGGAGGATGGGGAACTGCCCACAGGCAGGTGAGAAACCCCCTCTTCCTGCCTATAAGGAGACCCAACCAGCTCAAGAGCCTTCCCTGCCCTAGAAAACTGGAAGGCAGACGCCTTCTCACTTGAGGGCACAGAAAAGTCTGTTGTTCCCCAGAGCCTTTGGCCCCTGTCCTATCCAGTCCCCAGTTCTATTCATTGGTCCATGAGTTCCAGCTTCTGCCCCTGTTGAATCCTGCCATATCTTTATGTACTATGATCCTGCTGTCTGTCCTGGGGGAGAGAAAAGGGATCTGTAGCTGTGGCCAACCCAGCCTGCGGGTGGGGAGTGGAGCAGGTATGAGATCCGGAGTGACCACAGCCTTTGGATTGGGCACGTGAGTGCTGAAGATGAGGGGACTTATACCTGTGTGGCGGAGAACAGCATGGGCCGCGCTGAAGCATCTGGCTCCCTCAGTGTTCACGGTGAGGGCTCCACCTGGGACTGCCTGCAGCAGGGATGAGATGAAGGAAGGCAGAGGATGGGTCAGAGTGGAGGAGAATAGGGGAGAAAGGATAGAGCAGGAGATGTGGGTGGGTCACCTGAGTCTCCTGGAAGGAGAGAGAGGAGGAGAAAGCTAAACAGCAAGAGATGGACATCTGCTGTGACTTAAGCCAGCCTTGGCTTCTCTCTCTATTCCGTCAGTCTCCCTTCTTAGTACCACTGACTCCCTGTTCCTTTATCTCACCCCCTGCTTCCCAGTCCCACCCCAGTTGGTGACGCAGCCCCAGGACCAGATGGCAGCTCCTGGAGAGAGTGTGGCTTTCCAGTGCGAGACCAAAGGAAACCCCCCACCTGCCATCTTCTGGCAGAAGGAAGGGAGTCAAGTAAGTGGCCATCTCCAAGGCCTTTCCCACCAGTTTTTCTTCTGGGTCACAGCCTCCCTCTCTTCCTCTATATTCTGCAGACGTTCTCTGGGGCTTTTGTTTTACCTTTGGTAGCCTTCCCAGAAACCCCTGAAGGTTATTTGAGAGGATTAAATAAGATCACAAATTTTAAAGGCCTGGGACATGTTGGACACTGTTTTATAAGTGATAATAATATGTTTAGGTAGTAGCAAACAGTCCTGGATGTAATTCCTTGGAGAATCTTTCCATTTTGGAAAATGAAAAGGTTTTTTTTTTCTAATGAAAAATGTTAAAGCCAGAAAGAAGGGGAAATTATTTAACATCTATCACAAAATGTGTTAGAAGACTTGGCTGACTACTTCATTTAATCCTCATAACTATCCTGTAAGTGTCAAATTTAGGGAAATTGGGGCTCAGGAAGGTTAACTAGCTTGCTTAGAGTTTTCCACTAATAAGTCACAGAGTTGGGAAGTGGACTCCAAAATCATTTAATAAAATGTCCTCATTTTTGTGAATAGGTTTAACTATTAAATGAACCTATTAATAAATGTGACCAAGGTCACATCACTGGCTGGGGACAGAGTATGAACTAGAACCTTAGGAATTCTCTGGATTCCAGAGTTGATGGGAATTGGGGAACTCTCCCGCCCAACTGCCTGCCTATTCCCCACCTTGGTTCCTTGCTCTGCCTCCAGGTCCTGCTTTTTGCCAGCCAGACGCTTCAGCCCACAGGGCGCTTCTCAGTCTCTCCAAGAGGCCAGCTCAGCATCACTGGAGTGCAGCATGGGGATGCTGGCTACTATGTGTGCCAGGCTGTCAGTGTGGCTGGCAGCATCCTGGCCAAGGCCATGCTGGAGATAAAAGGAGGTACATGCCCATGGAGATAAGGCTGGACCCACGGCCTGGAAGGAAAGAATGGTTTAAAGGGATCTGTTTCTCTTGGGTTCTATGAAATATGTCTGCAAAGGTAGAACCGTGTTCCTGAGGCATGTCCTTGAAATTTGGACACCAGCAGCAGAAGTCACTAATGGATGGCTGGTCCCAGGCAGAGAGAGTACAGTTGATGATCAAAGCCCCCTTTGATGGAGGGGGAGGTTTGATGAGAAGGTGAAGGAGCGGATGAGGACAAGGGGCTGGTTGCCTGAACATAGGCACCTCCCCTGAGTACTCTAACTTCTTCCTTTTGCAGCCTCCTTGGATGGGATGCCTCCGGTCATCCTCCAGGGACCAGCCAATCAGACGCTGGCACTTGGCTCCTCTGCATGGCTGCCATGCAGAGTGACTGGGAACCCTCAACCCAGTGTCCAGTGGAAGAAGGATGGCCAGTGGCTGCAGGTGGATGACCTCCAGCTCAACCTAATGGCCAATGGCACACTGCACATCACTAAAGTGCAGGTGAGTGTCACCTCTGGGGCCCTACTAACTGAGAATGGCTATCTGGTCCACATTCCCACCTCTAGTAAGTAAGTACCCACTAGGCCTCATATCTGCACTCTGTTGTCTCAGACCCCCTAAAGTGTCCTACATCCTCCCCATCCTTCTGTCACCCCTCCCAGTTTGCCTGTGCTCTACCCTCCCCTACAGGAGATGGATGTGGGTTTCTACAGCTGTGTGGCCAAGAGTTCCATAGGGGAGGCCACCTGGAGTGGCTGGCTCAGGATGCGGGGTGAGTTTTTCCTTCGTTCCCTTGTTTTACCAGCCCCTTTCTCCAAATCTTCTTCAAAGTTAGTCAATACCTCCCCAAACCCAAGGACTAATCTTATCTTCCAAATGTCACGGCCCTAGTGGTGGGAATAAGGAGGACAGAAGTTGTGCCCTTGGGAGGCAGATGTGAGTAGGGGTTAGTATACTATGTCCCCCTCTGACTGTCACCACTGTCACAGCTCCTATGGAAAGAAGGCAGTTTACACTGGGGCCATCCTTTTCCCATCCTTCTACTTAAAGATTATCTTCCACTGCAGAAGACTGGGGAGCATCACCAGACCCCCCTATGGAAACCCGTGTCCCTCCGGGGCCTCCCTCTCAGCCAATGGTCACTGAGATCACCAAGAACAGCATTACCCTGACCTGGAAGCCTAATCTGCAGGCTGGAGCCACAGTCACCTCTTATGTGATAGAAGCCTTCAGGTATGGAGAAAAGTTTCAATGCAAAGCTGGGGAGTTAAAGGGAGGGGACCGTATGTCCTTAGGGTCTTTGCTATTGTGGGGAGGAATTCTCCAGTCCCCTCTTCCAAAGTGAGGAGGTAGTAGTGGTCCATAGAGAATGGATGAGATGGAGTAGACAGGTTGGGGGGTCCTGGCTTAGACAGCCCTGTCACCTCATTCCTGTTGTAGCCAAGCAGCTGGCAACACGTGGCAGACAGTGGCAGATGGTGTGCAGCTGGAGACACACACGGTCAGTGGTTTGCAGCCCAATACCATCTATCTGTTCCTGGTGCGAGCTGTGGGAGCCTGGGGCCTCAGTGAGCCCAGCCCTGTCTCTGAGCCTGTCCGCACGCAGGGTGAGTGAGGTCAGAGTGCCTGGGCTCATGGATATGACATGTGACATGGCAGAGCACCTCCCTCCCCAAAACCATGGCACTGTGGCAGTTCATAGAGTTCTTTCCTGCTATGCTAGGTCTATACCGGTGGCCCAGCCTGGAATAGAAGGCCATGCTTCCCTCTCATTGAAGGAACAAGAGAGGAGGGAGTGAGAGGGTATTCATTCATCTTGGTAGCTCCTCACTTCTGAGCCTTTTACCCATAGATAATAT